GAGCAAATGATGACAGAAATGGTTGGAGAGTGGCCAGAAGTGTTCGTTTGAAAGTGATTAGATAAAAATATTAAGTATATTTTCTAATCCTATTTTTCTTCTGTCCTGAGTAAGACGATAAACTACATCTGCGTCCTGGGTAAGACGTTGAACAAAGTCCGGCGGCGGGGCCTCTGATCGGGTTTTGAGGAGCGTAGAACCGCCTCTTGGTTGCTGGTGTTCCTGGGTCCACCCTGATTCGGGGCGGTGGGCCTGTTAGGGCCCTTAGCTACGGGCAATTAGTTAACTCCGAAACTGAAGTAAAGAGCATTATGAAAGTTTTAAAATGGGTTTTAATACCAGAAAAAAAAACTATTACCAGCATTATATTTTTGAAAAAAAATATTACCAGCAATACATTTTTTTAAATAATATTACTTGCTATACATTTGTGATGAAAAAAAATATTACCAGAAATAGATTTTTGACAAAATAAAATATTACCAGGAAAAAACAGTTTTCGGCATTAATAACCCATTGGTGTTGATATGCCGTAAAACAAAACAAACCAAACCAAACCTATTTTTCTTCTAAGAGTATTATGTAGATTTAAGTATGATTATAGCAGGCAATTTTAAAACATTTTTATTGCAGTTTCAATGCTGTAGAGTTTAATATTTTTACCTAACAATATCTGTTTTTTTATGGGCTGGCTAATTAAGACACATACTTACTGTAAACGGATCCACTAATAGTTGAGTATTATTAAATAAGAAGAAGATGAGACATCTTTATAAATGGTTAGCAGAACGAGAACAGTCTGTTGTCTATATATTTCTGAGAAGAGACAATGTAATTATTTACACTATTTACTTTGTTCGGACTTGTCCTCATCTTTGTTGCCATATACACGACATTTCGGCTGTTGTACGCTCCGGCCTTCCTCAGGTCGTGTCTATATTTCTGAGATGAGGTATTGTAATTATTTACGCTATTTACATTATTCAAGCTGTTGTTCTCATCTTTCTGGACATATTCACGACGTTTTGGCCATTGTACGCTTCGGCCTTCTTCGGGTGATTGGGATTTCTTATTTACAATTTTCGAACTAAGCCTTTTATTTCGTCCACCGTGGTAGATTGTTTAGTTCCACGTGTCATGTTTCTTCCGGATCTCAGTATCAGTTATCTTCCCTTAACTCAACTCTCCATGTTTTTCTCCACCTCAGCTGTAGCCAAGTATTGAACTCACAACTCTTTGTGTCAAGTCACTGGATTCAACCAACGTTTTTATCCACTGGGTCATGTGACCTTGAGGTCTATATTCTCGTAGATTAAATAAAGGGTTCCGTTCAACACGGCACAGATCTTCACCTGAAGATTTCGAAAAGTTGGCAGAGTGGTTTCTAAGCTGGGGGAAATTAATAATCGACAATAGCCAAGAGGATTTTATCATTCGTTTGTGAATCTGCAGGCCTATTAACTTTTAGTTCTAATCCCAGTGCCGGATAGTTCAGAAATACAAGAGGTTATATAAAAATAGTCACTGCTGACACTAGTGTTTGAACGTAGATCGCCAGTGAACAAACACTGTCGACCTCATTATTCATTAGGTAGATCACGTGACCATAGCGGAAACGTTTATATAGAGAAAGTCGCGTGATGTCTGATGTATTCGCTATTTCTTCTCTATCCCCTATACTATTTGGACTTCTATTCTCTTCTCACTATATGAAGTACTATTACTTTGAGTATTATTCTAAGACGTCTGATATAAGTATTATTCAACGGTGTATTATAATTGGTATCTGTGAGTACAAAGTCCAACTAAGTTGGCATTGATGAAGTATCAAGCAAGTATATATTGTCATTATAACGGTGGCTGCAAAGTGTCATTTTGATGACATAACATGTTGATTGAATGATCAATCAAATAGGATAAGAAAGGATAAAATCTGTTTTGTGTGTGTTGTGTATGTATCTCTGTGAGGGGAAAGAAAGATCATTGATTACCACTTCAGATTTAGTGTGTCATGTCACCATATTTCTTATGAGAACAAAATTGTTACTGCATTTGCTTCCATTTTTACGGAAGAGCATAGAAGTTATCCATGATTGGACTATAAATTGCCAGAGGAGTCACTGCTATTCCCTTCTCACTATACAAAGTACTATTACTACGAGTATTATTCATCGGCGTATTGTAACTGGTATCTGCGATTACAAAGTCCCTACTACGTTGGCATAGACGAAGTATCCAGCAAATATACGTTGTCATAAGAGTGGCAATAAAGGGTCGTTTTTGACAACATAACACCAGCTTAGCAATAAAACTAGTAGTACGGAAAGAAAAAGAAACAAAAGCTAACCCTAGACATTGATAGTGGAATGAAAACTATTTATTCTCGTACATTAAATAAATGGTACAGTTCAAAATTCACTGAAGACTGACACCTGAAGAAGGGAAGGGGGCGTAATGGTCGAAATGTTGTTATGAAAGCAACAAAGACGAGAACATTAGTCCGATTGTCAATAAGAATAATTTCCGTTGTTTTATACCATTGTTCACCAAATACAAGGCCAAAGAGTCACTCAAGACAGAAGGTTACTAAATAATGTTGTTTTAATACTGTAAAAGGAAAAAGAAGTGCACATTATGGGGATATGTACGATAGATAACAGCTGAGTCAAGACTTGAAGAGGTTACTTGGCTCCGCTCCCGGGTAGAGCCAACAGTCTACCTGCCTTCGGGCGGAAAGGAACCCGGACGAGGCTCCGCCGAAGGGCAGAGTCTCGTTCGGGGTGGTTGACTGCCCCTGAACCCGCTTATGCGGGTTCAAAGAGGGAATATTTTTGGCCGAGCCTACGGGCTCGGAAATCCCACGTTAAACTCGACCTTGTGCCATATGTAACCCTCGTGGGGGGGGTAGCTAAATATCACTTGAAGAGGTTACGATCGTAGTGATCGAGGAAGCATCCTCTTGGAAGTCTTTTCTGTAATATAACAAGAAACCGTCCGAATTGAAATTTCTTCTTAACTGTGCGATAGGAATTAGGATGATTTGTCCCCCCCCCGTATACATGGCGTTGTGGGCCTTAGTTAAGATGGTCTGAAATGGTGGATCTAAGGAATGTCGCCGGTCAGAATATTTTCCATGAAAATAGCGATCTTTTACTAGAAAAGAATTAAATCATGGTATGTTTAAGAAAAATTCATCTTTTATTAAAAAGAAAATTGTTAGGCGTGTACTTATGGGCAATGCTGTATTTTTGAAGAATTTACTATATTTGCTGTGTGTTAGGTGTTTACCTGCCAGAGTATGACGAGAGTTACCTCCCCGTAGATGAAAGTTTCACAATAAAGATTTAGGAGGCGGCAGAAAGAGGGCTACCAAGGTATGAGTAAACACGCGTCCTTGTTTCTTCTTTCAACTTATTACTAAGCTTGCTATTAATAGAATAAATACTATTACATTACTTAACACACATAGACACTTCCGAATGACAAATCATGTTAAACATGGCCGGGGGGGGTGCAAATGTGGGTATACAGTAAGTATTATACCAGGATTGATTTAATGCTAAAATTTATTTAAATATTAAAATTAGTCTTAATATTTTTATTTTCATAATTTTTATTATAATATATTTATAATAATTTTTAATTTTTTAATAAATAATAATAAATGTTTTACAAGTAAAGAGGAGCGAATGACGGAAGCAAATAGTTTGTAGCGGACCGTGGTTATTTTTTTACGCGTGTTCAACGTGTGGGACTCCTGAAATAAAGTCCATTACAAACATGGCGACTAGAGATGAAACTAACCAAAAGAAAATGTAACAGAAAAACAAGAAACTAATATGCATGTACAAACAAATATGTGTATTAGACAACAAAAAGATTTACAATAGACATAATTAATGTGTGTATGTATGAACGTGGAAAGTTCGTGTTTCAAAGTATGTTCGTACGTGTGTGCGTGTGTGTGTGTGTGTGTGTGTGTGTGTGTGTGCATAATGTTCATGGCGTCTTCCCAAGGAAACCCGTAGCTTCCCTACAAAGGGGAAAACGTAATCTTCTGCGAGAGCCTACATTTTTGTAGGGTCCGCTGAAAATGCAAAGTGACAAAGAGAGAGAGAGAGAGAGAAAAGGTTTTCTCAAGTATTTATAGTTTAGAGGTAGCGTCCCTTAGGAACAATTTGGACAACTAGAAAATTAAGGAGGGGTTACCGTTAATTCCGACAAGTGTAAGTATTTGAGGAGTTTCATATGTTTATTATTGATATGTTTATTATTGATGTGTTTATTATTGATATATTTGTATACTCAATACAATACATTTTGTGTGCACGTTTTGTTTTATATTACTGTAAACCTACTTTTGCACACCCTGTATAATCGAAATGGCAAGTTGTGTTATTTTTTAATCTTTTAAATAAATATTCTGTTCAATGTTTATGTGGTTCTTCCAACAAATTGACAATAAAAAACAATTAGACTATCAAAGAATCCCAACAGCTTCCTGCTGTCGAAAAAGAATCCTACCGTTAAAAAAATACAAAAAAAAACAAGTTTTAAAAAGAACAATTTGTATGTTTTTATTGCAAGAGAATTTTAAAGAAGTTGTTTGTTTTCCTGTAATATTTGAGAGGCTAATCCTGCTTCTAAAATTTCAAATACAAAATAAACTCAGTATTACATGAAAAAGTAAAAAAAAGAAAAAAAGAACACGTTTTATTTGGAAAATCTTAAAGCTGTTGAAAACAGCACTATTTTTTTTTTTCTTCGTTTGCATTAATTAGAATAGAAACAGGAATATTATTAATGCAAAACTCACATTGATAGTGTTTTTGAATTAATTTATTGAAAATAAATATTTTGCAAAGATTTCTGTGCCCTTCCGTTGAGGATTTTCTTGTTAAACATTTCTTGGAGATTTAATTAAAATCATCTTTATCAATTTCTGAAAACGGAATTTGAGAGGTGTATTTATTTGTTTACATACAATTTACCCATTCCCAATGTTGCCTGTACTCGTGCCAATCCAAATTCCCAAGGCATCTGGATTCAGATCTCTCCATCTCACTTATAAAATAGTCATCTTTTTCTTTATTTACTTTGTCGTTCACACATTTTTAACACCTTTCTTTCTTGTTTCACTTGTTTTTTCCTCTTTTCTTTCCCTCTTTTCTTTTCCTCTTTTCTTTTCCTCTTTTCTTTTCCTCTTTTCTTTTCCTCTTTTCTTTTTCTCTTTTCTTTTCCTCTATTCTTTCCCTCTTTTCTTTCCCTCTTTTCTTTCCCTCTTTTCTTTTCCTCTTTTCTTTCCCTCTTTTCTTTCCTTCTTTTCTTTTTCCCTTTTTTTTTCCTTTTTGCATCTTTTCTTTCTTTTATTATTCTTTTTACCGGATTTTTTTTCGCGTTTTTCAATTTTTTTTCCCCCTTTATTTCGCTTGAGCATTTTCTTCGTATTTTTTTCTCTTCCTCCTATTTTCTAACTTTTTATTTCTCTCCTCACGCATATTTCTTTTTTTTTTTTAAATCGTGATCTTCGGAAGCAGTGTGTGGAATTCGGGTAATTATAAACTGTCTGACGAAAGAAAGACAGTCACAGTAGAACCTAATTGAATGAATGAAATGAAAAAGATTTATGATAAAAATCGACAGCTTTTCTTTAACAGAAAATGCATCATTTCGAAGAATAACACAAGCAGCAGCTTCTTCTTCTTCTTCTTCATCTTCTTCTTCTTCGTCTTCTTCTTCTTCATCTTCGACTTCTTCTTCTTCTTCTTCTTCTTCGTCTTCTTCTTCTTCATCTTCGACTTCTTCTTCTTCATCATCTTCTTCTTCATCTTCTTCTTCTTCTTCATCTTCGTCTTCTTCATCTTCTTCTTCTTCTTCTTCTTCTTCTTCTTCTTCATCTTCGTCTTCTTCTTCTTCTTCTTCTCCTTCATCTTCGTCTTCTTCTTCTTCATCTTCATCTTCTCATCTTCGTCTTCTTCTTCTTCTTCTTCTTCTTCTTCATCTTCGTCTTCTTCTTCTTCATCTTCGTCTTCTTCTTCTTTTTCTTCTTCATCTTCGTTTTCTTCTTCTTCATCATCATCTTCTTCATCTTCTTCTTCTTCTTCGTCTTCTTCTTCTTCTTCTTCATCTTCTTCTTCGTCTTCTTCTTCTTCGTCTTCTTCTTCTTCTTCTTCTTCTTCTTCATCTTCTTCTTCTTCTTCTTTTTCTTCTTCATCTTCTTCTCCTTCTTCTCCTGCTTCTTCTTCTTCTTCTTCTTCTTCTTCTTCTTCTTTTTCTTCTTCATCTTCTTCTTCTTCTTCTTCTTCTTCTTCTTTGTACTGTCTCTCTTCAGGACATAGGCGACCATAACTCTCTTCTATTCTTTATAACGCTTACTATGTTTTGTCTTTACATCCGTTAAGTAGGTTACTGCTTTCCTTATTCTGTTTTATCTTCAATACGATGGAGCAGTGGATAGTGGCTCGGACTGAGGAATCGGAGGGCCGCGTTCGAATTTCAGTCGAATCCATTACATTCGCTTACGTGCTAATACCCTTGAGAAAGGTATGCACTCTCTTCTTCCCCCACCCCGCTAGCTATGGGTAAATAGCAGAACAAATCGGATTCTATAGCCTTGGATGGCAACTGGCCTACCGCAGAAAGAATCTAACTAGCAACCTACCGCGGGAAAAAATCTGCCTCGTCAGTCATGTATCGAAAGATACATGATCGCATAAGCGTGTAACACGCATGACGCATAACTGACTGACTGATGTATCGTGTGTGTCAATTTCTCTAATCCCTCATTCCTCATTATATGTCCTAGGAATTTCAACATTTTCTAATTCTCAGTACAGATGTACCTAGCCCTAAGTCGTCAATTGGTTCCAGAGGTCACGACTTGGGTCGAAAAACGACTTAAGTCGAAATAACCACACTATAAACCGCAAATAATCACCCCCCCCATTGCCTATTACAGTATTTATGATATGTACGTACAGTAGTGAGGTGTTTGCAGACTCATGCCTCTGCTATCGGTGAGCATCTATTAAATTCTGGTGTTTGTAGGACTGAGTATTCTCCTCATTTCTTTTCGGTATTGCACAGGGCTAGCAACAGACTCCACCTCAACATTTTGGAGTCTGTTATTATCAACATACGTAGGCCGGCCCTCTGCGTACAACGGGAGATGGAGTTGGCCTTATTTGGGGGAACGGTTACATGATTTGAGGTAAAATAATTTTTTCCCCCTTACCATCCTGTTTTATTACGGTATTAATAAAAAAATTTTCTTGTTAGTACTCCGTTTTAGATTACCGACGATTGTGTTTGAAAATGTGTCGGTCGAAAGGTACCTTACATTTTATGTTTTAAACGTGGATATTGTTGTATCTTATGTTTAATATGATCCCATATTTTTTATTCCTCAAATGTCTGATTAGATTTGGCAGTACTAGAAATCTGTTTAAATATATATATATATATATATATATATATATATATATATATATATATATAGTATACATAATATTATTTTTAAATTTATTTGATTATAATTTTATGTGTTCTTATTGTTATGTATTTTGACATTTCTAATATTTTCTAAGGCGAGTTTTATTTTTCCATATAAAGTAAAACCGACGTATCTTCGAAAATGACTTAAGTCGAAACGACTTAAGTCGAGGTATCACAGTATAAGTCTTCATTTTACTTAGAAGCCTGTCGTTACCCAAATATTCAGCCCATTCAGCATTAACGATCATACAGGACTGATGTTACATAACAGTTCAGAACGCTTTTCATTGTTTCTAGTGAAATTTTCTGTTTCTTAATACTTTGCTTAGCTTTTTGAAAGCAATTTACCTATTCCAATTTGCCTTCGGATTTTGATGTACATTTACCCTCATCTTTTAGAATACTAGCCAGATATTTAAATGTTCGTACTTGTTTTATTTTGGTATCTTCAATTCGTACTTCGCATCTTGGCATTCTCCTCTTACTGACAACTTATTTTCTGTCTTCTTACAATTGATATTTAGTCCTTTTTTCTCGCTTTCCTTTACTGCTTTTTGTAGGAGTCCCTACAGTCTCCTTTCCGTGCTTAATCTAGTACAGAACCAAAAAGTATCTTGATATGATAACTTATAAAGTTACAGTCACTTATTGCATTGATTGCCATTTAATCAGACCTCAAAGCCAGGAGGTTTTTGCTGTCTATTGGGCCTCATGTTCAAACCAAACCTCAACTGGAACCTCATAAATGCGATCGATGTCTAAGCATGCCGGAAAAACAATCAGTTCTTTCTATTGTACAATTGCTAGGTCTTCTGCTAGGAAAGTCGATTCGCCGTGTCGTGTCAGAATTATTTTTCTAATCAGAATCCATCTTGAACATTTAGAAAGCTAACATTGCTCCATGCATTGAATATTGCTGCCGTATCTAGTCTTGTGCGCCTAATATATATATATATATATATATATATATATATATATATATATATATATATATATATGAAGAAATTTAGTCTTAAGGTGTGCTATATTTATGGGATAAAGTGCTCAATATCGGAGATAGAGCGTGTGTAAATATAAAAGTGAACATTAAAAGTCAACACTTAGTCTGTTTCATGCTAGCATCTAGCATGAAACAGACTGTCGCCTCTAAGTGTTGACTTTATGTTCACTTTATTTATATATATATATATATATATATATATATATAGTCATCCACAGACAGACTGTTTCGCTGTATCACAGCTCGTCGGTGTGGCTAGACGTCCTGTTGCTTCTAGCTAGGATCGAATTGGCGTCAGTCGGAGATTCTACCCCTAAGCCGTTGGCACACGGCAAGGATGAAGGTGATGAATATTCTTGGCAAAATTCAAAGAATACTCGGTAATGTAATCGACCCTGACCCGGCATCTCGACTTCAGGATGTTGCTTATCTGTCTTTTCTATAAATATTTTCATGGCCATTGTTCTGCTGAGTTTTCATTCTTGGTGCCTCGATCGCAGGAATTTAAGCGTAATAGGTCTCACTGTTTTACTCTTGAACAAGCTAAATATAACTGTCTCTTCTATTCTAATAGTTTCTTTTCTTGTTTCCCTGCTGCCTCCAATCATCAAAAAATTAAAGTGCAATGCCAATCGCTATTTTCCATCTTCCTGAAGCATGTTCCATTATTGTCCTTTCTCCTCGTTAATGTCTTCTCGTTGTCTTTTTTTATTCATTTGCGTCTTAATGGCATTATCGACTTGCTTGGAGTAAAATTATTCAAATTAAATACCTACCATGCATTACCTTTACAAAATTCAAATGAACCCATAAATGGAGCATTGCTGCTATATATGTAGTGAACATCTATCTATCTATCTATCTATCTATCTATCTATCTATCTATCTATTACAGCTTTTTCACTATCTATCTATCTCAGACTGCTCATATCTATCTATCTATCTATCTATCTATCTATCTATCTATCTATCTATCACAGCTTGTCCATTATCTATCTATCTATCTATCTATCTATCTATCTATCTATCTATCACAGTCCATTATCCATCATCCATCTTCATCTATCTATCTATCTATCTATCATCATCTATCTATCACAGCTTGTCCATTATCTATCTATCTATCTATCTATCTATCTATCTATCTATCTATCTATCATCATCTTGTCCATTATCTATCCATCTATCTATCTATCTATCTATCTATCTATCTATCTATCTATGTATTACAGCCTGTTCATTATCTATCTATCTATCTATCTATCTATCTATCTATCTATTACAGCCTGTTCATTATCTATCTATCTATCTATCTATCTATCTATCTATCTATCTATCTATCTATCTATCTATGTGTTGTGGTAGGATCCACCTAATTTGCATAGTGGAGTACCGACCATATAAATATGGTTGGTACCGGAAAGAGAAGCAGAGGAATCAAGAGATTCAATCCAGAGACTCTGCCCGACTGCGACTAAGTCAACACATTCTCCAGGAACGGTCTTCCCAAGAATATACAAAAGACTATATGTAAATATTGTGTACACTTTCTTGTTTCAATACATTTTGTTCTAAGTACATTTTGTGTTGTATTATTATTCCATGAATTAGTCAAGTTTCAACACTATCACTTCCTTTCCGATCCACACCGCTCATATAACAGTCGAAAAATGACAATCTGAGAAATGCGATAAAAAACAACAGAAATAAGACAATGCTGTGCTAATTAACAATTGATAATAATATTTGTTTAAGCTTCATCTTTACTGCAACGATGACAAATTGTGTAATACGTAAACCTTAATGATTCAGGAGCATAGTATTTAGAGCAGTAAAACATCTCTATGATAAATGCGAATGTCAGTGTATCACTGTGTCACACCTTTTCAACTTTACTCATAGAGGGCGTAATCCAACATATTATACCATTTTGGAATCAGGCCGAATCCGTAAGCATTTCGGAAAGTTGGATACTTTCCG